GGGGTGCCAACACCCCGCCGGCACCCGCCTGGGGGGGGCGGCCAGGGGCCGGCAGACACGCGGGCACGCACGCTGTCACCCGCATGTGGGGGCCGTCAGTGATCCGGTGATCCGGGTCATCCAGGCTGGCTGGGGGAAGGCGGGTTTTTGGCGCGCTGGCACACAGGCGGTGCCATCACCACGCTGTCACCCGCATGTGGGGGCCGTCAGTGATCCGGTGATCCGGGTCAGTGATCCAGGCTGTGGCACGCTGGGAAAGCCACAGTAGCCCGTTAAAAGCCTCAGTGCCTTACCTAAAAGGGTTTTGGGAGGGGTGAACCATGCCGGGTGGGAAGGGGCCGGCCGCGGAGGACCGCAGTGATTTGCACCAGCATTCCCACAGCAAAGCTCTGCCCCATCACGGCGGTTTTGCTCTCAACCGAAACTCCTGCCTGGCGAGCAAGCCCCACCGCCCGGTGGGCTTGGCTCTCCATCCCTGGCCTGGGACACTTCCCTGGAGGAAGGAGGCTTTGCCGAGGCCGGCGAGCATCCCTCGGGGACTGGATTAATGCCGAGGGGGCAGCGGGGGGAGCTTCGGCCGCATCCTGGCCCCGCACAAGCCACCTCACCCCTGACCTGCTGTGCTATTCCCAGCTGGCCCCCACCTCCCACCGATGCCGCCAGCGCTCGTAAATCCTCTCCTACGGCACCCGTTATTCCAGTCCTGCCCACACACGCGCTGCTGCCAGGGCTCCTCCGTCCTAACCTGCCCTGGGAATTATTACCCCGAAAAAAAGATGCATCAGATAACTGCAAGCAAAAGTGCACGCAGGGAACATGGTCGGTTCCCCGGCTCTTCGGGATCAAAGCCTTGCTTTCTCCAAAAAGAAACCTGCTTTGCACTGAGTCACGGCTAGCGACAGCCTCCTGCGAGCTGCCTCTGGCACAGCAAAGGTCACCGGGAAGCCAATTGCCCGCTCAGGTCCCTGGCTATCGGCTCCCCAACGCTGGCTCGCCACCTTGGCAGCCGGAGCCGAAAATATCCCGATGACAGAGAGGTGATGACTAAGATTTTGGGCAGCGATGGGCAGGTTTGGATACCTTGGTTCACAGGGGGAGGGGAAGGCGGCATGCAGACTGCTGGGGGAGAAGCACCCTGGGGTGCGCCGGGGGAGACACACGAGGCCGTGGGGCTGCACTGGCTGCTCCCTCCCTGCCCGGTCTGCCCAGATGTGCGAGCACAGATGTGCATTACCCACTCTGCCCAGACGATGTGCATGCCGCCTCCATCCCGATGCGCACATCTGCTCTACCCAGCCGTGCATGCCCAGCCCCTCCAGCTGTGCCTGCTCCCCCCAGATGTGCCGGTCTCGGCTGCGGGGCCGGGCTGGCGGAGGAAGCTCGCAGCAAACCCCAAGCTCGCCGCGCGGCCGGGCCGGCTGCCAGCCCCTTCTCTTCAAAGGCAGGGACTGAGGCTTTTTTCTGTTCCGGGTAGGGCTGCTCCTGTGCGGGGACCTCGCTGCTATTCCTGGCTTTGCCATGGGCTTATCGGGAGAGGCCAGGCCTCCTCCCTGTTTTCCTGCCTGCTGATGTGGGTTGCCTGCTCGCCCCGAGATGCAGTGGGTTCTGGCTAGCCCCGGGGATGGGAGAGTCAAAGGATAAAGCTCCTTTTAAGAGGCGAGAACAGGAAGAGGGCGGGAGGGAGAAAGTAGGGATGAGCACAGTAAACCCTGCCTTTTTTTTCTTTTTTTTTTTTTTAATAGTAAACAGCTATTCTGGGAGCAAACTCTGCTCGCAAAGGGGCTGCTGGGCCGCAGGAGAGGCCGGCGGGGTCGGGTGCGAAGCCCCGCTTGCTCCTGCGAGCTTTCCTTCCTGGGGTCCTGCCGCCTCCCCCAGGCGAGGGGGACCTGCAGCTGGGAAGCAGGTTTTTGTTAGTGCGGGGGGAATGGTTTGCAGGGAGGAATAACCCCCCCCTCCAGCCCATTGCCCCTTTGCTGAAACACCAGCGAGGGCGAGGGGAGCATCGCACGCCAGCAGCCCCCGAAGATCCCTGCCACGAGCGGAGCTAATGGACGCTGATGAGCTGCCGTGTTTATTAATGCCCTTTTATGAGAGCATTAATAGTTCCTAATGACACCATTTGAGCTTCCCAGCCTTTTATCTTCTCTTTCTCTCTTTCCCCCGCCGAGGACACAGTGTAGGAGGTGGAATTAGATATTTCCACCCTCCGGTCCGTGCTGTGCGGTGCCGAGTGCTGGTGGGGCACGGGATGCTGGTGGGATGCTCACACAGAGACCTGGACAGCCTTAAAAATCTGTACCACGCAATTTCTGCACCGGGAGCTCCTCTCCGTGCTCTTTTCCTTGGCCAAAAGAGTGGAGAAAATTATTCTCCTCCGTTCCCGACACCCCTTTGCCAAGCCGGACATCGGCTGCGCCGAGGCTCTCCGGTAGATCGCAGCCAGCCCTCGGTGTTGCCTGCCGCACATCGCAGCGTAGGGCGGGGGGGAATAAATAAATACAAATAAATTAAGAAGGCAGTGAGTCACATTTTGTTTTCCTCTTGATCTTTTTTTTTTTTTTCCTTCCTTTCCTTTCTTCCCCCTCTCCAGAACGTGTCTGATCCCATCGGAGAGGAGGGGAAAGGGATGGGTGGCGAGCGCGCCAGCGATTCGCCCGGGCGAGGACGGAGGGTTATGGAAAGTGGGTGTGGGAATCGGCACAATCGCTGGCAAGGGACCAGGACAAACAGATGACGGATGGGACCCAGGGCTGCGCAGGAGCGGGGCTCTGGGCTGCTGCCCCC